AAACTTTTCTGCCTTCTGTCTTTTCACAGCACGGCGCTTGACAGCTTTCAAAACTTGATCACGCTTTCTCAGAGTGTAGGGAACCCACCACGCAAAGGCAGGCTCTGACACAAGCTTGTTTGCAACAGCGCATTCAGCGACCTTGGTAGGAAACGCTTCTTTTGCTACTGATAGATCAAGCCATTCTGTTTCTCCACCTTTCATCTCAGCTAATAATTTCCATCCTTTGGTTGTCTTTTGTGGACGCTTGAGACCGCTAGAGGTAGTATACCATCCATCGTCCCCTCTAACTGCTCGTCCATCACGTTGATGATCAATAAATTTGCGAATCCGGTACATCGTGTTACCTTCATCATCAACATTCATCATTATCCCTTCAATAATCTGATTTGCATGAAGCTTTCCACCTTTCCATCCTCGAACTCCACTTGATAGATAGACGTGTCAAGGTGTGGATTCTTGTGGTAGTGACCAATTAATTTTCCAGATGAGTCACGCTTCGGACCTTGAACAACTCCAAAAGTCTCAACTCCATCTGCATTAAACGATACCTTTGCAGAAACATGTTTGTCAAACTCAACAGGATCTGATTCTTGATCCGGCGGCTCTTCGAAATCATCTTCAATCTTGTGGCGAGGATCTTCTTGTGGGTGATCTTCATATTGTGCATACTGCAGGTAGCCACCATCTTCGATTGCAGAGATCGGCATGTTGTACTTATACCGAATGCGATCAAGTTCTTCTTCAGAGATAGAAACTCCATCAGACTTCTTCTTCAGATTCTTCTTCAGATCTTCCATAAATTCTTTCTTCTTCTCTTCCATTGGTTCACTGTTTCGTTCTTTGGCTGATAAAGGAATCACTGACGATCGTTGTAGTACTTGTCCATTGGTGTTGGAAATCGGTTCTGGCGGACATCAGACTGCTTGTCTTCGTCCAAACCGATTGACAACGTTGTGGTGCATCAAGCCATAATTGCCAACCAGCCGTGCCAGCATGCGACCCATCAAGTCGTCATGCAAAGGCACTAACCATAGCGATCTCCGATCCGTCTAATATGAAATAATCATCTCTACAGGAAATAACTATTCTAAAAGACTTGTTATCTACATGGAATGGGCAAAGCAAAAGCCTTGCACGAAAACTCAA